TGCTACTTGGGCAGATTTGTTGAACTATGCAGTGTATCATTTTTCGTTTTTTGTTGGTTGTCAAACTCACAAACGTTTCCCTTGACAATTACAAAAACAAAGGGGTTTGACACACCTACTATCAAAAACCTCAAATTTTCAATTGTTTCATAAAAAAATTGGAAGTCTCCCTTTCGGTAGCTTACCCTCCCTTTACCATACAACAATGTTGAATTAACCAACTCAAGAGCACGAATCCATAAACGAAAAAACTGTCTAATAATTAGACAACCATTTACCTGTTTGAAAACGTTAAACCTCGAGGCCGATCTATAAAATTTCAAAGACAAATTAATAAGATAGCGGACACAACTTTTAAGGGTGTTAATGTTGCAGGTTGGGTATTGAATCTCTTTTAAAAAGAGGTGTTCAAACTGTTTTTTGATAACTAGCAATGTTATTTTTTGTCATGAATTTCGAAAGGTTGTGTGACAAGGATTTTTTTCCTTTTAACCAACAGTTGTGTGACAAGACCAAAGTTTGTTTAATCACGATTTACTAGTGGTTTCGTTTTGTTTTGGGTTGTAAAGAATGAGTTTTCAAAGTGATGCAACTATAAAAATATTTATTATTAAAAAAAATAAAATCTGTATTTCAGTTAAAATTTATTTTTTTTCCATTTCGCAATATATATTTGAGTGACCTAAAGAGGTTGTAAGATAGGGGCTGTTTTTTAAGACAAGTGATAATCCATGAGATTACTTTTCATCCATAACTATAACTCTTATCGGATAAGTCAAATAACCTCTCCAGCTTATTAAACTACGAATTGCAAAATAAAAATAAAAATCAACTTTAAAAAAAATACATTTTTTATTTTTATTGTACCCATATAATTGACTACGCAAATTTCAATTGCATCCAGCTCGACCTGAAAAATATCCATTATACCCAGTTACCGGTCGTTATGTTTTACAAAAGGTTTTAAACCAATATTATAAGAGAAAGGTGCAATAGTTTAGCTTGTATCGTTCCATTGATATATGAACATATCTGCGCTCTATTCAATTCATTTACGAAATGACGGTGGGTAATCACCCACTTTATCCTTTGACTGATGGTTTTTAAAAATACCGTTTTTCAAGCTTACCATCATACATGTACGTTTTTTCAAGCGCATACGTTTATAACACACATGTTTTTTTCCCCCTCATAATATATATATACAGGGTAACCGGCGTTCAGGACGGGCCGAACGCCCGAACCCGAACGCCCGAACGTATGGGACCCCTTGAGGATGCGTTCGGCCGTTCGGACCAAACGCGGAAAAAAAAAAAAAAAAAAAAAAAAAAAAAAAAAAAAAAAAAAAACAAAACAAACAAACAAACAACAACAACGAAAGGCATCAAAAGAATCTGAAAAATAATATATCTTATGAAGAAAATAAATAAAACAAGATTTGCCGGAGCATTACATCCGAATTCCTTACCAAATTTGAAATAAAAATAAAATACGAAAAATAAATAATAATAATAAAAATAAATTAAAACAAAACAATAAATAAATTTAGTGAGTGCGCGAGCATGTTTTTTACACCGCCATCTTTGGCGATTTTTTTTTTTTTTTGGCATAGCTAAATGCCCTGGAAATTTATAGATGTGTAATTCACATAATACAAAACCCACTCAAAAAGTTGCAAAAAATAATAAAATTGTTTAGACCCCGAACTAAAATGAAAACAAGAAGTAAAAAGTGAAAAAATATGTGGGCGAGCATGTTTTGACACCGCCATCTTTGATGATTTTTAATTCTTATTTGGATTACCCAAATGACTTGAAACTTTACAGGGCTGTACCTCACGTCATAGAGAACTGACAAAAAATAATTCAGAAAACAAAATAATTAGTTTGAGGCCCCAAAATAATTTTTGGCGGGAGCCGAACGCCGTCAGGTTCGGACCCTATACGGGACCCCGAACGTCCGTACGTACGGAGGTCTGCTCGCGGGCCTCCAGACGTACGGGCTGGTGACCCTATATATATATATATATATATATTTTAAATATCTATCTTTGTATTGATCTATCTACCTATTTGTTTATCGATCTATCCATTTATTTATTGATATATATATACATATATATGTATGTGTATATATGTACGTATGTATGTATGTATATATGTGTGTATCTCACATATATAAATTTTTCACTTATAAAAACAAATATGGCACCCAGCATGCATATATAAAGTTATGACAACACTATAATAAATTGTGCTCAAATATATAAGATTTCCTCTCATATATACTAGACGCACATGACCAGTCAATCCCAAATAAATTATTTATTTAAGATTTGTGGCATGAATATTTTGAATGCACATCACTTTGCTTTTGGTACGGATACACTTTTGAAGTTTAAATTGTCATTTTTTTTATGTCATATTTTATAGTATATCGAGTTTAAGTTAGTTAACAAAACTGACCATGTGATATTTCAATAAACGTTTTAAGGTTTTCATGTATAATAAATATATCAAATGTTATTACTTCAACCCTTTAAAGTGTTTCAAAAAGTTTTTTATGAAAGTTTTTTCAAATCGTATCTGATGCACATAAGGAGTCAAAGGTCGCTCATATCGTGTCTCAGCATGTTATAGATGATACGCCTTCATGTTTAAACTATTTTGTTTGTGCTACCGACTATTTTGAAAACGATGTTACTTGAGAGGAATTATAATGTTACAAAAGTATAAATATGGTGTGTATTTAAAAACGCGTTTATCGTGTTAATAGTTATTTTTTAATTAAGTTTGATGATACTTTTGTGATTGAGATAAGTTCACACTATGCCAACGCTTTGTATTATTGAAATTGGATTATTACTGACTCCTCGATGTGTATTGATTTTCTGATTATAATTTTTACTATATCATAATAAACTTCAACAACAGTATGAATTAAAGCAATGAGTTTGACTTTATAAACTGCCATAATTTTGATTATGTTTCAACTTCTTTACATTTATTATGCTTTACTAACCTTTTGTATTTCTGAAATTTTATTATTATTTATTTTTTAATATGTATTATATTTAGTTGATTACCATTTATACTATATTATGATAAACTTCAACCACATTATGCATTATAGCAATGACTTCGATTTTGTCAATATTTATCATTTAGATTTTATTTTAACTTCTTTATATTTATTATGACTACCTTTTACTTACTACAAACCTTCGTAGCAAGACGAATGTGTTCGCTCTCCTTAGTGTTTTCGTGAACCTTTTTCTTAAAAAAAAAAATAATAATAATAATATCGTTTTTTTTTTTTTATAACTAATTTTTGGCTAAGAATTTCAACATGACTCTTATGAAATATGTATTGATATTGTTGTTTTACATGATATATATTCTTGTCATATTTTTTTAAGTTCTATTTTTTTTAATTTTTTTTATTTCCTTTCGCCGGGTTTTGGACGCTCGTTCATGTTCACCTCTAAATGCGAACATGATTCTACACAGCTACAAACTTCAACTATTTCAAATTTGTATTGCTTTACCGGACATTTTTGTTTGTGACGATATATATATCCTCATAAACAGAACTGCCCGGTAAACCGTAGGCAGAGAGAGAAGAGGACAATAAACGAGGGGGTGTGACAAACTGATATATATATATTACTTATAGTTACATCCAGGGTTGCCGGCGTTCGGGACGGGCCGAACACCCGAAGCCGAACGCCCGAACGTTAAAAAAAAAAAAAAAAAAAAAAAAAAATGTTCCCAAAAATTATGAAAAATAAATATGCAATGCAAAAAAATAAACTAAACAACATTTGCCTGATTTTTCAGGCCCCGAAATAAAGGGAAAACAAAAAGTGAAAAGAGAAAAAAAACAAATTAGTAAGTGGGAAAACAAGTTTTGACACCACCATCTTTGCCGATTTTTTATTATTGTTTGGCTGCACAGAATGACTTCAAAATTGAGAGACAGGTAACTTACATAAACAGAGGAAGATTTGAGGGCTCGCCGCCAATTAGCTATTAGAGTTGGACAAGATTATCGCTCCTGGTCCAACAGAAGTTAAAAAGCGGCTGCTATCGCCGGCTGGCTCTGCAGAATTGACCGGAACATTTCCCTTCGTCAGAAGATTCCGGGCCAGGTACTGACGTTGAAAATAGCCTACCAGCTTAAGGGGTTTCCGGTTGAGCTGTTCCTGAAGGTCTGAACAATTTTTCTGTCAGACGGGACCAGGTCTGAAAAATGACCGCGGTCCTCGTGCGTTGTTTTTCCTAGGAGTTAGCAATTGGTGATGAGTATAGCCAGATATAAATTAGGATTATACTAAGTGATACTCCTCCTTTTCAGCAGACCTGCTTACGCAGTTTTCGCGGTCAGCGCTTCGGTGCCGAGCGGCGATAACTGCTGCTTCGTTTTTTGGCATGATCGGTGGAATCTTGGGAGTTGTGGAACGTAGGTGGGGCATATGGGATGGGACGTACATGATGCAAATTTTTCCAATCTGACATTCCGCTATTGCGGGTTTGTGGTGAAGTATCTGTGCATTTACGCTTGTGTGTACGTGTGTTTTTTTCCCTTGCTTAAGCACTTGATAACCACCGGAGGATAGCTGCTCCGTTATTGGTGGTCTAGACATCAGCGACGGAACGTGAAGACCGTGAGTTGTTGAACAGTACAATTGGAAGGCGAAGTTTGCAATACGGCATCTAGTAGTCAAAACCTGGCGAACGATGAGGGCGGGCAGCCCCCGGGGGACGACGGACGTTGCAGTGTTACTCTTGTAAGGTGTATGGACATCTGGCTCGTGACTGCGACCTCTATTGGAAGGAGGAGAAGGAGAAAGCGGATCGACGTCGACAGCTGGAGGGAGAAGGGAAAATCGCGGATGTGCGGACAGAGCCTACTCGAGCCAGATCCGCGTCCCCACGACAAAATCGTTGGGAGGCTCCACGTAGATCTCCGTCAGCGGAGCGGTATCATTCTCGTTACGACGATCGTAAGGAGTCCAAGGACCCCACTGGTCAGCTCGTATCGATATTATTGGAAAAGGAAGCTGCCAGGGAACAGAAATGAAAGGAGAAGGAGGCGCAAAAGAAAGAACGAAGAGAAGCTTTGGAGATGGAGGCAAGACGAAAGCGCAAGGAGGAGAAGAAGGAACGAGAGCGCATGGAGAATGACCTGAGGGTTGCCCGTATTGTCGATATGCAGTTGTCGCATCGATGGGGATCATTGCGGCAGCAGCAGGAGATTAGCAGTAAGAAGGATCGGTCCCGACGTAAGAAGAAGCTACAACGGAAACTGCGAAGAAGAGAAGAGCCAAGTGAACCTGAATTCGACGAAGAAGTTGAAGCACTTCGTGCTGATACCGAACGCATGGAGTTGTGCCCTAACTCATCTAGCACGAATGATGACAATTGTGCAGCACCAGCCATTACGCCGCTTACCAGGACAGCTCGGAAAATGTACAGTACCAGCAGAGGAAGAGGACGACCGCGCAAGATGTTGCCGTTGAAGCCATACAACATCGCCAGTGAAATCGTTCCTGAGGCTGGACCTGACGCCCGAGCCCGCTCCATTCGTAATGCTAAGGAGCAACTCAAGACGTTGGATTATAAGGAAGTGAAGGACCTCTGTAAGCGGGAGCAAGTTCCGTACATACGTAAACAGCAGGCGATCGCGAATCTGGTGGAGCATCGAGCGCCCAGAGCCTTTGGAAGAGACCGCATGGCACCACCTGCTACACATCCTCCGCCTCTTCCTGTGATCACCGAGAGTAGCTCGGAGGCTGCATCGTCTTCCGACGTGTTTGATGAAGGCAGTGGTAGCGATGAATGGAGCAACTGGCCTGTAGAACGTTTGTGGGGTATCTGCCGTGGTCTTATTCGTGAACGGAAGAAACAAGTAGGCGTTAACTGCAAATTGGAGGCAAGCTTGAGATGGGTGGTCTTTGCACTGCCGAAGAGAGGGGGCATCCGCTGGGGTCATAAATTCCTCAACGATTGGACTTCATGGTGTTTGGATCACGATGATGGATTCAATTCTGCCTCTTGCTGTGTTTACGTGGCTATCTCGCCCTTTTGCAAAGCTGTGTACATCGGTAAAACGGAGCGAAATCTTGATACTCGCTGGGGTGAGCACTTGCGTAAATGTGGACAAGGGGGTCCGGGCAACCATTTTCGCCGTTGGCTATCAAGCTATGGTAAGGAAAACTACGTTCTCCTGTCTTTAATTGGCGCACCCGTGCATGAACTGTTAGCAGTGGAAAATTTTTATATTAGACACTGGTGTCCCATACTGAATACTGTCGGACGCAAGTGCTCTAACTCTCCACGTAGACGGAGAGGTAAACGTGAGAGACGCAAATGCCCTGTTGATAAGCAGGAAACGTGTGCTGAGGTCAGAATCATCTCATTTTGTGTGAATAACGGCAAGGGAAGCATGCAGTTGAATAACCTATTGATTGAGCAAGACCGTAATCAGATCAGAAATTTCACATTAGCATCTAGTGGAGGTACATCGTGGTACGATGGATGGAAACGAGTTAAGCGACTGTTCGGTTAAACTCTGGTTAAGACTAGTAAAGGTTTTTGTCTACTTGGTGAGTGTAAGTCTCTTTTGGAGTAGGGAGGTTTTTTGTAGATCACTAATCTGCGTAAGTGGAGGAAGATTAATCATAAAGGTAAACGATACCTTATCTCACTTCTTAGGAACCCTGGAAAAAGAGCTTCAGCATCTGGATGTGATCTGGAATTTTTGATTGGCCTGCTTCCTGTCATCAAAGATTTTCAGAAAAAACAGATGAGATCTTTGCTTCGACGCGTGGTGACTAACGCTGTTAAGACCGAATATGGGTTTTATGTCCAAAAGAAACTCGTGGCCAGAATATTGTATGACGATCGAATTAGTATGGGAGGAGTACGTAGACTGTTGGATTGTAAATTAGATGCTCTTTCGTTGCCGCCCATGGTCCGTGATACTCTAAAGCGGAAAGTTAGAACCGTATGGACAAAAAATATATCGGTTGCTGACATTATGCATAACCATCGCACGTTTTCACGTCGCAAGGTTTCCACCTGCTCATGCGCATGTGTTCCGCTCCCGAGGTACAAAGGCCATGTTAGATGCAGAATTTGGGAAGACGTTCGTGTTCCTGTGTTCGTGCACAACGCGTGTAATATTCCTAGAGCTACTAAAGCCGGACGCGTGGGGATTTTAAGAAAGGAATTGCAGGATGCATTTGCATCTTGGCAGATTGGCAATCCAGATGCAGTGGACTTCAGTCTTAAGGAGGTGGAATCCTGTTTGAATCGTTCTGTAGCTCACCATGAAGAGACTACCTTTGAAGATGTACAAGAGGTAAAGAAATTGTTCGATGACCTGCTATTGGCCCCGGCTGATTGAAACCCTGCTGAGACTATTGTTCTTTGCCCCTGACTGTATCATGAGGCTATGCAAGATTTGTATGTGCGTAGTGATTGTTATATGGTGCAGTCGATGTCGGAGGAGGAAATCCTGTCCGTTACTAAATCGGAATATCGTGCTTCTGGGTTGCTACGATTAGGAAGATGGATGCCCAAAGGTACTATGGGGCGCGGGTACGTAATTCCAAAACACAAAGATTTGGAGAGATTTAGACCCATTTGTCCTACTTTCAGTGAACCGAGTGCTCCAGCCGGTTGTAAAGTGTTAAAGGGACTGAACGGGTTGTTGAATGCTATGCGAGCAAGTCTTCATTTTAATCATGAATCTTTGGGTGATCTGGTGTCAGAATTGGGTAAGATCAACAAAGCCATGGTGAAGGGGCGATGTGCCAGATTGGAGGGATCGTCCTTCGATATAAGAGATATGTTCTCCCGACCACCGCACGATGTTATCCTACGGGCTTGAGATTGGTTATTGAACTGGCATGAACAGAAAGGCAGAAGTTGTGTTTGGGTAAATCCGCAAGGACGAGGGTCGTCTGTCTATGAAGGAGCTGAAAATTTGGGTTGGTCCAAGGTTAGTTTTGAGGATATTCGTAGCTTTGTTATCTTTAGTCTCAACTTTACCTTCACGGTGGCATCGGATATTATGCTGAAGCAAATTCTGGGTATTATAATGGGGAGTAGTATGAGCCCTCCCCTGGCGTGCATCATGTGCGCACACTCGGAATGTATGTTTTTGGGTTCATTGGGAAGTGATCGCAAATTGGTGCACGGAATCCGATTAATGGACGACGTGTCCTTGTTTGTTTTATGTAAAAATGATAATGGAATCTCCCTTCTCACCGCCAACAGAATTCGGCGGAAATTTGAGAAGTGTTACGCCCCGACTCTGTCTCTGGAGCGAACAGATGATGGGTTCGGGGGTTGGGAATTTTTGGGTTGCGCACTGGAAGTCAAGGACGAATACCCCTTTGTGGGTTGTTTTCAACGTATCAGGAATGGCGAAGATTTGAGGGCTGGCCGCCAATTAGCTATTAGAGCTAGGTAGGATTATCGCTCCTGGTCCAACAGAAGTCAAAAAGCGGCTGCTATCGCCGGCTGGCTCTGCAGAATTGACCGAAACACTTCCCTTCGTGAGAAGATTCTGGGTCAGGTACTGACGTTGAAAATAACCTACCAGCTTAAGGGCTTTCCGGTTTAGCTGTTCCTAAAGGTTCTGGACAATTTTTCTGTCAGACGGGACCCGGTCTGGAAAATAACCGCGTCCCTCGTGCATTGTTTTTCGTAGGAGTTAGCAATTGGTGATGAGTATAGCCAGATATCAATTCGGATTATACTAAGTGATACTCCTCCTTTTCAGCGGACCTGCTTACGCAGTTTTCGCAGCCAGCGCTTCGGCGCCGAGCGGCGATAACTGCTGCCTTGTTTTTCGGCATGATCGGTGAAATGTTGGGAGCTGTGGAACGTAGGTGGGGCATATGGGATGTGACGTACATGATGCGAATTTTTCCAATCTGACGTTCCGCTATTGCGGATTTGTGTTGAAGTATCTGCGCATTTACGCTTGTGTGTACGTGTGCTTTTGGCCCTTGCCCTTGCCCTTACATAACAGAGATCTCACAAAAAAAAAAAATAATAATAATAATAATTTTTAGGTACCAAAATATTTTTTTGCGGGGTCCGAACCCCTTCGAGTTCGGGCCCCGTACGAGGACCCGAACGCCCGAACGTTCGGGCGTCAGCTTAGGGGCCTCCGTACGTTCGGCCTGACAACTCTGGTTACATCATTTTTACCTTGTGAATTGTCATTATATTTATCCCTTATTACCTTCAGGTCATATGATGATTTTTTTTTTTTTACATTCATATTGGAGGTTGTTTTTTGTGTAGCATACCAAACATGCTCGGAGTTTTTTCGAACGTCCGAACATGTTCGGGTGTTCGACTGAACGCCTCCCGAACGTGATCGACCTAACATATTGAATATGTATATAGAGAGAGAGGGTTCAACCTCCTGATGAGTCGGTGAAACTCCGACGAAACAGTTTGTCACAGCCCCTCGTTTGTTGTCCTCTTCTCTTTCTCTGCCTACGGTTTACCGAGCAGTTCTGTTTGTAACGATATATATATACAGGGTTACCTGACCGAACGTTCGGGGGCCCCCGGGCTGGCCCCCGAACGTTCGGGCGTTCGGGGTCCCTTTCGGGGGCCGAACACCTCAAGGCTCGGCCCCCTCCAAAAATTATTTCGGGGCCTAAAAATAAGTTTTGTTTCTGATTTTTTTTTGGTGAAGTGACCATGATTGGAGCTATAGTACTTACCATGCATAAGACTATGATATAAACTACACGCACTATAAATTTTGAAGCCATTCTGCTAAGCCAAGAGAACATTGAAAATCGTCAAAGATGGGGGTGTCAAAACGTGCTCGCCCACTCACTATTTTGTTTTTTTTCACTTTTAACTTTTCGTTTTCACTTTATTTCGGGGCCTAAACAATTTTATTATTTTTTAAACATTTTTTAATGAGTTATTGATTATGTAAACTATATATCTGTAAATTTTCAGCGCATTTGTCAATGCCAAAAAATAATTAAAAATCGGCAAAGATGGCGGTGTCGAAAAGGTGCAGGTACACTCACTCATTTTAATTCTCTTTTTATTTTTTCTTATTTTTATCAAAGTGTTTATTTTCGGTATTGGATTTTTAATTCAAATTGGGTAAAGAATTTGGATGTAGTGCCCAGACAAATGTTGTTTAATTTATTTGCCCAAATAACATAGTTTTTTTTCGAATTTTTTTCAAAACTTTTTTTTTGTTTTTTTTGTTTTTTTTTTCGGTCCGCGTTCGGTCCGAACGACCGCACGCCTCCCGAAGGGGTCCCATACGTTCGGGCGTTCGGCCCGTCCCGAACGCCGATAACCCTGTGTATATATATATATATATTCTATTTGACTATATATATCGTCACAAACAGAACTGCCCGGTAAACCGTAGGCAGAGAGAGAGAAGAGGACAACAAACGAGGGGATGTGAATATATATATATGTATATATATATGGTTTTTTATTTTTAACTCGAGTTTGGTTACGAATTTGAGCATACCTTCTGGGAAAAATTATTTGTATTTTTATTTTATATAACATTTTATTTTATTTTTTTTTATGAGAAGTTTTTTTTTTTTTTTTTTTTAATATTTATGTTCACGTTTGGAGCGTTTTGACGTTTGTTTGCATGCGGTTGCGAACGTTCAGGTTCGGTCACCGAACCTAAACACGATGCTTCACAATGTTTTTTCTTTATTCGACTTCTTTCATTATGATGTGCTGAAATATAAATTTTGTAAGTTCAATTTTTTTTTTTATGTGTTTTTTCTCTATATGCACTTCATAGTTGCAGTCCCAAACATACTCAAATGTATAGAAACTTCGTGAACCAATCAGACTTTCATTTGTCATGATAATAGTTTCAATAGTATAACAATAGTCGACCAATTTGATCTCACTCTGTATTGAAGTTTGCGTGTGTATTGACATCCTTACTGCTATCGTAAGAGTTATCTAACGTTTTATAAACTACCTTTGCATCAGTAAAAATAACTCATTGTAGGTGGTGATCCCATCTATATATAATTATTAGGTTGTTTTCACAATTTTATTTAATTAAGTACAGTCCACCGTTTGATCCTTGTTGTTATGATTATGTTGTGTTTATAGACATGTTGTGTAAAGTTATAGTACGATTGTTTTTTTCTTCTCATAACCTTATGTTAATCATTGCGATAATGCATGAAATCCAACTAGTTATGTATACTAGCATAACATTTGTCGACCCCTTCGATACCATTACACATTTAAGTGTTATAGTTTTTTATCTTCATCATCGTATTACACTTAGTACCGTTGTTTTGGTTCAAAGCATTTTATACTATATTATTCTTGATAATTCACAGTTGGGTTAGGCTACTAATGTGGCCCAAGACCATTTGCCCGGTCGGATCGGAAAAAAATAATAAATAATTTAGTGGTCTTAGTATTTTTAATTTAGTAAATAATTTTGACGTGACTCCGAAAAAAACTAAATTAAAAATATATATGTATTTTTTTTTTTCTTTTTTTTTTTTTCTATCCGACTGGGCTAGTGGTCTTGGGCCACATTAGTAGCCTAACCC